CGAACCGTAGTGACAATGGGTTCTTCGGAGAAGTGTTTAGCAAGAATTGTGGTGATCTTTGAACACTTAGTAAACATTACCTTATCGTTCTTCGGTGGGTCGACAATGACCAAAATGACAACCAACACACACAAAGCAGGCAATCACTTAATATATCATTCGACACAAATCCATACGGTTCACATGCAATTCAGTATTTAATTAGAAATTTCGAAAATGTGACCGAACCCAGAAATGTTCAAATAAAAGAGCAAAATCCAACATAATAACCTCAATCCTATTTTCCAAGCTTCATTTTGAAATGCGAGCTACATTTTTGATTATTTCGTGGGAATTCCCAATTTAATACTTTGATTTGAGCAGCTCTGGTGGTAGGGAAAACTGGTTTCTCGCAAGAAGTTCTTTGTCCCATGCAAAAGACACGAGCATTTGAGTTATTTACAGAAGAATTCATATTTCATTCATGTTGTCAAGAACAATAGACAATTCGTCTCAATGAAAATATGGGTCGAGCATTTGAAAATAAACTCGTTGCATTTTATTTTAATTGAAAATGACAATTCTCATGCGTACAGAAAAAAAAATCCGGTTGATAATAGACACATTTTTGCTTTCGTACAATTACTATAATCATGCTATGGGTGGCGGTGGGTGCATTTCACTCATCCACCCGGGCATCTAGATAATTGAAATATTCTAGTTATTGTTGCATTACTAATGGAAATGAATTAAAATTGAATTCGTTTTGCGTCGCACCGCTTGTATGTGTCGTACATAAAACCGTGTTCTTACATATAAAACACAAGCGGCGAATAGAATTATTTATTTCAAGATGAAGCTCATTAAATAATGGCAACGCGCAACATTGTTATGTACCTTGAGTAATTCTCGTGTTTAAAATTTACTTCATTTTTGAGGAGCCGTCATTTCGAGTTGCAGGAGAATATTCTGCAGAGAGAATGGGTATGTGTGTGTGTGAGAGTGAGTAAGAGAAGCGACATTCTAAGTCAAGAAAAGGAAGAGTGTTTAGTTTCATTATTTATGATGCTCTCGATGTAATTCATAATGCACGTAAGCGTCTCACGCTGTATCGATGTTACATTGTTTACTTGGTGTGACTTGAATAGCGGAAGAGAATGAGAAGTTGACAGAAGACCCAAACATTATTATGTTCGTGTATTGAGCACTTGAAGTGCAATTATGTCAAACGCCCGTGCCCAATACTCCCAATCAATGTCGAACATAGTCAATATTTTCACAGTGCTCACACTTCCCTTCGTGCGTCGCCTTCACTCGTGCCATGTTCTGTTCTTTTGGTCTTGGTTTTTTCTTTTGCATCAACCAATTGATTTTGTCCATCACAAACTGTGCATCGTCTCATTTCAAATATTCGTTGTTTATTTAGTAATTGCTTCAATATTCAATTAAAGCGCTTCGTTTTTTTTTACAATTTTTGTTTCTTACCTTTTTTTATTGGTGTGAAACCACTCAACGTGAGAAGTGACAACTTTAGTTTTAATTTGCTGCAGTCATTCTGGAAAATATGAAAATGGACGAAAAAAAAGGCTTTAGAGAAAATGAATAGAAAAAAAATAGCGGAAAAATTTCATTTAGTGCAAAATCACATTTCGCTTAAGTTGTTGACTCGAAATGAATGGAATTTAATTACGTTAAATGTGAACCAACGCTTTTTTAAATGCTACGCAATGAAAAGAATGCGAATACCCTTCGCATCGAGAAACTACTGTGGTCTTGAGTACACACACATACACAGTTGTCACAATCACCATCAAAACGTAAAATGTCATCAAAGCGATAGTTGCAGGGATATCCACTCTTGATTTCAATGAAATAGTTATAGAGTAGTTTTCAAAGCATGCAATTCCCTTCTGTGAGTGACTGTGAAACGTCTCCCACTCTCATCACTTGATTACTTTCATTCCTTCCTTTCTCTCAGAACGTCATTGGGGAATCAAGGGAGAAAAATAAGATCGCATAAAATGGGAAAAGTACATCAAATAAGTTTCCAAATGGTAACACAAGATTCCATTTAACTTTGCTGCATTTTCTCATTTTTAAACGGAAACTTCCGTTATGAACTTGCTTGAAATGAAGAAAATCTTAATTAGATTGAGATTAAAAGTGAGTTGTATTTCTTTATGCTAACTATTTGCAAATTTCTTTTCTCTTGCCATGCGGAATCAGTAGTAAAGCCATGGATATGACTTTTCACTTCATTTTTTCCCGTCTCCATTCCATAGAAAGAAAATATCTGGAACTTGCGAACAAAGTTATTAGATACAATAAATTTGACTTGATTATTTTGAGTGAGAATAAATAAGTTTCTGGAAAATTACTTATCATTACTATGGCCGCAGTTTGAAAAACTTGTTTTCATATTTCGGAATGGGTGGTAAAAAAAGACTCTCAACCGGTTGTTCCTATCAATCATCACCTCATTTTTCGCGATAAAAATGACTGAAACTTTTTTATGGCCTCGAAGTAAATCAACGGGCCAACATTTTTGGCGTATTTTTTGGTTTCTCGCAAGTTTTGAATCGCAACAATGTTGCATTCGGTTGATTTAAGTGTCTGCCGTTGTGAATTATGTGAAGAAAACTCTTCGCATTTTGCCACATCTAAATTTTAATTGCTTATTGATGTTAAAAGTTTTACATTTGATGTCCATCACCAAAATGCTTTGGCTACGATGCAAACGAGAAAAAAACAAATTTTTTGAGAAATAAAAACGTTTACAAATGAAAATATATGGTTTGGTTGTGCTTTGCATTTGGTTATTCAATCATTTGAACATATTTTATTTTTCTCGTTTGCTTTGAAATTGGAAAATGAGGAAGAGAGTTGGAGGGAGGAAGAGAGGTAGAGAGAGTAAGAGAAACATACAGAAAGAGAGGGATCGACAGACCTAGAAGAAAGAAACGGTGGTCCATGGAATTAAGAAGCATCTGGTGTGAAATGCACAAAGTCGAAGTGCATTAGAATAAATTGCATTTTTCTCGAATTGATGGTTCTAAATCATTTTGTTCCGGAGAGCATTCGCATAAAGTGTGTGTATGTATGTGGCTACAATAGCACCATATGTGCTCGCTCCCATTTGGTTGGACCAAAACGAATGCAATCACCTCGATTATTATCTAAATTTTATGTTCGCTCTTCTGCTTTTCATTTCTCACAAAAATATTGTTGATTACCTACGTAGAATGTGAATTTTGTATGCAGAACCAATAGCCAATTGCAAGTGCTCTCATCTTTTCAATGCAACGTGCAGGACCTCGTGCACACTTTTCGTTCCATATATGCAAGATGGTGTGTGTGTGTGTGTGTGTGTGTGTGTGTGTGTACACCATAAAATGCCTTGAACCACAATTTATCATGAAGACGATACCTGCATGCAAACCGAATTGAAAATCATCAGCATGGCTTTTGTGTACAACGAACAAAGTTTTTGGCAGTAGTGCTCCAGCCAAGATCGTATTATCAATGTGTTTACTTTCATCTGCATTCCATTTCTTTTTTCGTGTTTAATATCTTTCCCGGTTGTCAACATTACCATTCTTGCTCACTAAATATTTGTATTCCTGGAACATCTTACAACTTGACGTCGTCGTCGTCTCTCTCACACACTTTTTGCCTCTCTTTTGGGTGTGTGTACTTGGCTCCAATATTTTAAAGACTCTCCATATAATGCCACACTATATACGGTATTTATTTTGAATTTGGCATTTTCCGTGCTCATTTCCATTTCAGTGGAATTTGCCATTGGAACTGGCGTTTTGACGGAGCAGCAGCAGGATGGGGGTGGAGAAGCAAGCGAAGGGATGAAATCTGTCTACTGCTTTGACAAAAATAATCTTCGTTTCTCGCTTTATTTGCCATCGGTACACCACCACATAACCATTGAATCGTTTTTATGTCACCTTCTCGGTGCCCTTTATTTGTTCACTTTTTTCCGCTTTTTCCATTGCCTTTTATTTAAACTGTATGCTATGGCTCTGCACTCGTTCGTCTCTTTATTTTGCAAACGAAAAATATGAGAGAAGCACTGCGAACGACGCAAAACAGAGAGCAAACGAGCGAACGAACGAACGAACGAAGGAGAAAAAAATCAATTTTCGTTTCATGTTCATCGTCGCCGTCTTGCTCATAAAAAACATTCGTTATTTTCGTTGCCTTTCGAGAAAATTGTACATTCAAATTTTCGAATGTCGGGTTTGCGTTTTGCTTGAACTGTGACAATTCACAGTAACTGAAACCGTGTGTAGTATGGATGTGTGAGTGTGTGTGTGTGTGTGTGATTGTGTGTGGATTTACTTGAACATATTCAACAATAAAATCGATTCGTTTTTCTTTCTTTTCCTCTCTTTTGTTCATTCGATCCTCTCGTTCTTTCCGACTCGTTCAACAATCCGCTATTCGCATTTAAAAATAAATCGGTTGCATATGTGTCGACTGCAAGTGGGTGTATGAAACCTCATCGAGGAGAACCACCAGCAGTAGCAGCAGCAGTCGACATGTGCAATTGACGACAAAAACCACTTGGAATTGAATTATTTTCGTTATTAAAGGAATTTAATATCATTACAATGAATATGCTTTTTGCGAAATGTACAATGCCAATGCGAAATAATAGCATTAAATCACAGAATTTGCGATACTTTATGCACCGAAAACGGAGATTGTTATGATTGCACACTTGAAAGATTTGCAAAAAAAATCTAGCATTTTATTCTGCGTGTGTGAAGTTTATTTACACACCCCATTCCAAACACTCGCTGCATTTTGAAATGGGTTATGGAAATAAATTCAACCGAACGACACTATTTCTCGTTTATTACGCCAAGATTATATGCTTGAATATGGATGCATGGATTATGCTCGAATATTTAAATGAATCAATAACATTTAAGCGATAACTTATTTTTCTTGAAAATCAAATCAATTTTAATTTAATAATATATCATATTTTTATCTATTTGCAGTTTGGATATTGACGAACAACTGGAGCAAATATCGAGGAAATTGCATTCGAATATGGAATATATGAGAGTGACAATAAAGAAATAATCGTTGATAGAGTTCGTTTGAAAGCGATCGGACTTTCACCAAGCTTGAAACCATGGAAAACAATCAAGATAACCGTAATAATATAAAAATTCACAAAAAGTCAAGCAATTGAATGAAAAAGAAAATGTTCTTGCGAACACCAAGAGCAAATTAAAGACCAAAGAACGAAGAAACGATTCAAATTTGAGAAATTGTGCAATTGGAGAAATTGAAAGCGATGGCTGAAAAAGACGCTACTCGATATCGCTATGAACCATATCAGCCGCTGACATCAAAGCAGCAAAATACCAGTGGAAAAACGTGTGAACCACCGACAACACTGAAACTCAGCGGAAACACAACAAAAGGCAAAAAATCCGATGAAAACCCAAAATCAAAGTGTTGTTGTTGCCCCGGCCCGAAGGCACGATCTTTTTGGATTAGTCTATTAATGAATTTAGGCATTTGCTCATTACTGTTCGGTTACACGTTGCTCGGTTCGTTTTTGTTTTTGTTCCTTGAAGGTGGTGCACAAACAATGCATCAACGTACACTTGCCTCTACGAATCGCCATCGAATCGCATCGTCTCGAAATGCCGACAATGTAACACTGTCCGAAATTACTGCGGCCGAAGCATTGGAAGCGCGCCAGAAGACGGTCGAAAACATCTGGGAAATCACTGTATCGTTGAATATTTTATATCGCGAAAATTGGACGCGGTAAGTCAAAATTACAATCGATCACTCTTGTTACACATTGTAGCTGCTGACTTAGCTAATTCGCCTATGTTCGATCACCTTTGCAGGCTTGCCGCACAAGAAATAGGTAGATTTCAAGATCAATTAATTCGCAAATTGACTGACGAAATGAATGCACAGCATCATACTGAGGGCAATGGGCCAGCAACTGGCGCTGTCATTGTGCACGATCACATGCAAGAGCATGAATGGACTTTGGCTCGAGCATTTTTGTATTCGCTTACTGTGCTCACTACAATCGGTAAGTTTTTTCAACTCCTTGTTTGTCTTCGCTTGAAAATTCGTCGTCCGACTGCGAAATTTACTAAATCAAAAGATAATGGCATCTAATTACGATTTAATGAAGTGAACAAAAGGAATGGCGTAAAGATAAACTCGTCGAAAAGAGATACAAAAACCCTAGATGTCATTATTAATCATTGGATTTTTTTCGGTAACCTTGTTGTAAGCGTTAAATCGCTTGAACAATTCATTTTACTTCCAAATCATTTAATTTAATGAGCTTTGAGTAGGCCGGTATTTTTCATTCACTCTGTGAACTAGACACAATTTATTGTTTTATTCGACGCACTTTTTACTTAAACGCAAATAAATCGTTTATATACCTTTTGTTTCGTGTTGCGACGTGACTTATCGAACCAACCATTTTATTGGCCTATCTCAATCAAACACCATCAATAAACAGTTTGAATGGCCTTCGTAGCATATGCATACGAATTTCGTTATATCATTCAAATTTTCAGCGATCCTTGCAAACACAGCCGGTTATTCACATTTTATATAACAATAATTTTTTTTTCATCCAAAATTCATGTCTATGTTTAGCAGACTGTTTAAAATGCTGACTATTTCGATACGAAATATTCCCCAATTTCATTCAGTTTTAATGCGCATGGGATTCTTTTTCGACATTCAGTTGTCATGCGAAGCATTTGGAATGCATTAAGCGGATTTGATGCTCTCAACTAAATCAAATCAAATGAATCGAAAATGCGGCATTAAATTGCACATATAAAAATTGGCGAGCGCAAAAAATGGATCAAATATGTCCAAATGTGTATGTGCATGTATATAAACAAAAATCAATAATTCTCCGATGTGAATATAAATGTATGCATTAATATCGAGAGAAAATAATGGCATGGTTCTGGGAAATAGGGCATCGTTTGGATGCCATCTGAAATCATAAGTGGGAAAATTTTCAAACAAAGAACATTTTAAAGTGGATATTCTCCATGCAATATATATGGATGCGAAATGGTCAGTTTCTTGTAAGTTATCTGCGAATAGATAAGCTTCTTATGCATTGAGTTATGGTACCTTTGGAAGGGTCATTCATACCTCTATCTTGGCAGCGGAGAAAAAAAGAGCTGTGTATTTGGCTAATAAAGATTCCCATCTTTCGTGCTGCTGGGTTCATTTTTATTGCCATTTCGTGTTTATTATGTTGGTGATGACCATTTTCGTCGTGTTTCTGAATAAATAAACTCAATTTGGACATGGAAATCTTTTGATCCATTTTATCACAACCGTGTATATTTCTGGTTGGTCGTTTGAACACTTTATTTTCAATATTTATACGTTTCCATATTCATGATAGTTAAGGTTCAGCGATCCATCTTTTTTTCTCCCTCTGTCGAGAAGATGCGCTCATGTACCTCACTCAACGGTCCATTTCATACACAATGCTATTAATATAGATGCCATTATTATGATATTCGACCACCAAAAACTCGTAACTATAATTGGGTGATTATGGTGAATCTGGCAAGAATCTTGAAATCTGGTTTGAGATACTTTTTCTTCTTCTTAGATCTAAATCTATGCTTTGAAACATTCAAAACCACATCATCTCCGGGAGGGAGTATTAAAGTAATAAAATTCGAAATAATCTCCCATGAAATGAATTGGTGGCGACGACTTCGAACGAAACAATGACGTCACGCTTGGCAACGTGTGTGATTGATGGAAAACATTTCGTCAAGCCGAGTCCTGAGTGAATAAAAGTACCTACACCTACACCTGCCGGTTTTATACGTTTGCTCATCTTATCGTACATGTTATTCCCGACAGCAAAATGATATTTAATATATTGTGTTTTTCCCGAGAAAAACCCATTATAGTGCTCCAGATTCAATAATCCCATTTGAAATTGAAGCTCTTCAGTGGATTTTACAAACAATAAACAAATAAGGTCGGTTTCAGGGTGAAATTGTCTCTCTGCACACAATCCTCAAATGTGCGATGACGTAAACTAGGAACGAATTTCCACATATGTAGCATCCAATTTTACGATACATTTTATATACGGTAGCTGGCGGTTTCACGGGTTTCAAGTACATGCACCGCATATGAACAATGTATACAACAATATGTTGTTCATCAGCTATTCAAAAATGATTGAAGCCACAAAAACTCAACTACACAATAATCATGCTTCTGTTACTTGAGCTAATTAAACACCATTACCACACATACTGAATCTCACCAAAAAAGCTGCTTTTGTTTGCAAACAATGTGTATGTTGCATTTTTTGAGCATCAAATACTCGACTGATGTGTATGCAAAACATTTTTGTTTCAATTTCACTGGAAATTGGCTGATTTATTCGGAGGATTTCAATTTATTCCACATTACGGTGAGAGAAATAGCGTGTTTCCAATTGAAATTTTTCAAAAGCAATAATCATTCAGCATGCAATCCATCGTCTAAGCGAGTGGAACGAAACGGTATGCAATGCGGTTCATTCTGATTATGCGGATTGCATATCAACATCTGAAAAAAACCATCATGCTCGGTGTATTGTGCGTGTGGTGAAAAAAAACTCGCCCTAATTGATTGGAAACATGAGCACGCGATCTGATTTCTCGTTGTATTTACATTGCGTTTTATCTCGTTTTTATTTTCTATAGAGAATGTATATATACGCGTTTCATCTCTGGTTTGCAACTTTTTGCTTTTTCGTTGGAAATATTCAATGTGTGTGTGTGTGTGCGTGTGTGTGTGCATGATTTCACATGCGATCTGAAAATGTATGGTTCGTCGATTATTGTTATTAGTGTTATGAAAGCTCTTTATTTTTCGTTGACTATGCTCGAATGTGCCGAAATTTATGTGTATGTGAACATCTGAATGGATATCAAAACACATTTCGTCCATATATGAACTAAACTGGTATGCTCGCATCGTTTGTAGCGTAATTGTATTTCGTTAGAAGGACACACACACACACCAGAACAAAAAAATGTATTTGTGTGTGTGTGTGTGTGTGTGTGAGAGCCATATCATTGCCATTCGTATCGATTTCGTGTGTATATTTTGCTCGGCATTGTCACACTTAACCATCCGTAAAAAAAGTATTCAACGTTTAACCAAATCGCAGCCATTGTGCCTCCCTGCCTCATTCTATCTCGCTCGTGGTTTTTCTTTTGTTGATTTAGCATTTCGTTAAAATAACACGAAATAGCATCAATGCTCTTCAGTCTGTGTGAGCATGTTTTTACTCTGTTTGTCGTTCGATGTTGGGTGCTTTTTTTCATTCAGCATATTTTTGGCGTCAAACGGCTTCCCCAATGGTGTGGTGTGCTGTATGTATGTTTCGGCTTGCAGTCGTTGAATTATGCAAATGGGATTTTCATTTCGAGGAGTTTTGTTCACAAACCACTTTAGGATAACACACACACACACACACATCATATTCACAAATAACGGAAATTGTTTGAGTTTTCAGTCTCTTTTTTGGCTTTCTGAGTATTTTGAGCATACAAAAGATGAGTGAGAGAAAGCGAACAAAAAAAAATTGTGTGAAAATTCCGCTGAATGCTAAACATTTCGACTAATCCATCATAGGCCTATTCATGGATGTTTGCATTGTTTGATGGTTGTATTGTTGCAAGAGAATCAGACAACACAGTTGTTGTGAACTGAAATGCCAACAAAACCTTCCGACTCAGTTTGGAATCCCGAAAATACGATACGGATGAAAAATAATGAATTGTTTTGTCTGCCCTCTGAAAATGATGATCGACAAGGCCGCGCTATGAAAATTGATATTCAAACGTCATCGCATCTGACCAGATGAGACGAGATACTTTTTTTCTATCTCTTTTTCTGCAACATTTAACAGTATAAGATCTGGAGAGTCATCGCATGTCATCGACTAATACAGACGTATTCATCGGGGATAATAGTCCGTGATGAGGCATTCCAATTGAATTATCGAAAACGAGACATTTCAACGACACAACAATATGAAAAAAAAAGCGGATTTGATTAACGAAGCATTAAGCCTATGGTATTATCGAACGCATAGTCTGGCGATACGAATTTTTTACGACAACCAAATAATAATTAAGTCGGAATGCGACTTTGTTTCAGCGTCCCATAATAAATTTAGCCAAAACATCAGGGCCAGGCTACATGCGATAACATTTTTACTTCGCATGTTACACCAAAAATCAATATAAATGAAGCAGAAGAAGAAAAAAATCTATAAAAATTGATTTATGCGAGAGCATAGTGTTGAAATTGGATCATGCCATGATAAGAATTGCACACACGAATAGCGCACCAGAAGCAGAATGATATAGAAAGAAAAAAACGTAAGCCAACGAACAACGCGAATAGAACAAAATTTATTTATTCGGTTCATTAAAATGATCATTGAGGAAGTTTCATTCGTCTTTTACGTAATTTTTTCCCATCTCATTCTCTTCGTTTCACTGAAAAGCAATAAAATCGTTTTAAATGTGAAAAGTTTTTTAATTCTGCGGCGTAGTTTCGATGTTACTACTTGCTGTGTGATGTTTGTTCGTGCCATTTAAATGCCATCTCTTCCTCTCTAACTCATTCACTCACACAGACTCTCTCTCTCTCTCTCTCTCTCTCTCTCTCTCTCTCTATCTGCCTTCACTTTATCTAATTATGTTTTCATGTATGATGAAAACTAAACGGCAACGAGTAAAGAGTTCGTAGCATCCGTGCACAATGTTGTGCCGAGAGATGCAATAATGAACGATAGTTGTGTAAAATACGTACGCAAGGAGCGAGAACGAGAACAATGTTGTGTTTGTGTTATGTGTGGCGGCGTCATTACTCAAATAGAAGAAGCAATAAAAATGAGCAAAACTTTTTTTGGTTAAAAAAGCCAAAATGAAATTTCAACCAGCAATAAATGTGCGACACACACACAGCGCCGCAGAAAAAGAATGGTTTAGCTTTTGCAAAGCGGATGCATTATGA